AAAAAAAAACTCAGATATGAACAAAGGGAGGGAGTCATTCAAATAACAATGTAAAGAGAAGCAAACTACGTATAACATCACACACCTGATGCCTTCAGTATTGTTACGCGATTTCTCTTGAATCTTCTGAATTTCTTCTACAGCTGCTTGAATTGCTGCACTCATGCGTGCCATTTCACTTTCCAGCTCGTTACCAAGGACTTCCTGTAATGAAACGTTTAGTATGGATGCAACTTACTGTGGAAAGTTACTCACTTTATCGATGTCGCTTTGCAGAGGCAGAGCAGTCATCATATCAAGAAGTTTCTTGCACTCGGCTTCGAAATTTTGCAGATCCAGATTAGAAGAAGATAGACGTTGTTGCAATGCTCGTACAACAGTATGGCACTGCTCATTCACACCTATACAGAAACCACATAAAGCATAAAGATGCTGACAACGAATAATGAGCAACATGCTTAGGTAGTTACATTATGGCTCTGTTTGTTCAGCTTTACCATTTGATGCCGAACAAACGAGAATGCAGCAGAGCTGGCAAAATCATAATCTACACGCAAGTATTCAAAAGCACAATATATCATTGTTGAAAAAGGCATATACACGACCAGGTGCGGCACCAATTACAGCAGCGCATCGCAGACAGATCCGATGCGGTGCGGTAAACTGTACCCAAAATACAAGGATCGGCAACTAGACAACAGGTATGAAAACCCAAGTCACTACTTTCACAAGATAACTATACAGATGACCCACCATCAAAATGCTGAATTGACGCAGTGTAAGCCGCTGCTGCGCAAGCAGTCACTACTACGACTGTGTCGTGCGCCAAAACAATGGTGTCACCCATGCAAGCTGGCTTCTTCTCGCCCATCAAAGTAACAAGAGCCGTGAGTGCGGAGATCGCAAGATCTAAATCGATTCATGATAGTCTGCAAAACGAAGCCCGAAGCCATCATAGAGTCCCAAAAACGACTTACGAGGCGGATAAGTGATAGTGCTAGCATTGGGAAGTTCTTCTTCACAACGAGAAAGCATGGCTAACACTGCGGCACGAATCATCCCTAAGCAACCACAATTGTGAAAGACATATACATCCCGAAACTTATAACTTCCTGACTATTGCAATCCAAACCACCATGCACATACTCTTTGTATGCGCAAATTCAAGAACAAAAATCAGCAGGTAAAGCAACGAATTCGAAGCCCCACACAGACACTTACCATTCATTTTCTTCTCGAGTTCAGCTTTCTCATCCACAAAGCGATCAGATGCAGTAACCAATTCGGATTTGTGAGCAGCTTTGAGATTCTCCATATTCTGAACAGATCACGGCATAGCAGCAACCGACAAAAAGGAATTTTTGACTCACCCGTCGCAGATCCTCCATATCAATATCGGCCTTCGCTAGCTGAGATCGTAATTCGTCTACCGCTACAGCATCACCTTCAACCTTACTTGATAATGCTTGGTTGTTCTTTTCAGATTCTTCCAAACGCCGATTCAGGGCTGTGTACTAGAAACAAGAACATAAAGGGTACAGCGTGAATAAGGACGCTCCTCACCTCCTCTTCTTTGTCCATTCTAGCTTTTTCGCTCGCAGCAAACTCTTTTTGCAACTCTCCCAACTTCGTCAATGCCTGAACAATACGAATTTGAAGCTACGACGGGACCTCGAACAAAAATACGGGAATAATCACTTACTGCAACATGCTCCTGTCGGAATTTCTCATAAGCAGCTTTCATTTTCCCGAATCTTTCTTCCGCTACTCGCGCTTGTTCGTGTGCTTCTTGTACTCTAGCATCATCACTCTGCACTCTTTGTTCGTCTCTAGCCGCGAGTTCTCCTGCAAATTCATTATCCTGCCAGTCCAGGATATAGACAGCCGTTAGACAGAACAATTCTTAACTAGATAATAATGTCTAAAATATAGATGTGAAAGCATTTTGTAAACAACGCCTCCACAAGCAACCACAAAAAGCAAGTAAAACAACCTACTTTTCACACTGTCGCACTCTTCACGAGCTTCATCAGCTTCCCTTCTTGCATGCTCGAACTCGCTTTGCATTTGAGCTAATCTATTTTCATACTGTTCAATGCGAGATCGTGCTTCCGCAATCAGTCTCTCCTTTGCAAATCGCTCGTCTTCCAAAT